CTGAAATTTTAAAAAATATTATTGTATACTTTTGCAGACATAAATACTGAGACATGGGGAGGAAAAAAGACCTGCTTAGCTGGGTGATATAAACACAGCAAGATGCTATGCAGACCTCAAGCTTTAGAAGGAAACTCTAAAATCCTAAAGTTGTGGAAAAACAGCAATATGATACCACATCAGGATTGGTATGAAGTCTAAAACTCTCCCACAAGTATTTTGTAGATTTTTATTTTATCTTGTTTGGTAATACATGGATGTGAAAGGTCAAAGTCGGTTTAGTAGACAGTGTTGACTGTAGTACTTTCTGACTTTTTGAATAACTCTCTCTTGCTAAATAGCTGTGTGTCTTGATAGATTGTTCTTTATGAGATTGTTTCTGTGAGAGATCATGCTTTTGTATGTGGAAGTAATAGCGCTGAGTAGATCTAGGTGCAGGTAAGTGACAAACAGTTAGGAAAGTTGCATGAAGCTGCTCTTGTGCTGCTTAAGTCCTGCTTAGGTGTATCACCAGGACTTTATGGTATTCTGTAACTTGATGTAAATTAAGTCTTTGTTTTTTATCTGTTGTTGGATTGCATCCAGGCTTGGCAATGGTGAGTAATACCAGACAGACTTCTAATCTTTATATACTTAAAATACTATTTGGAAGTCTCACCATCATTGTGCGTTTCTTCTATGTTACAATAATTCTTGGGGACTGCAATCAAAGCACATACAAAAGTGTGTGCAAAATAAGTGGTGGCTTTGTCTATAAAAATAATTCAGGGTCTGATTATTAAGTAAAGTGGAATACTGCTACATAGCAATGCTATAGTAAAACATGCAGGTATAATAAGCAGTCCTGGAGAGCTATATGCTACAGACTAGTATACATAAGAATACTGTGAGTAGTCTACTGCCCTTAGTGTTTTGTATGTCATTCAGATCAGTGGTATGTTTCCCTCTAGTTGGAGATCTATTTTTTGCATCAAAATTGTCAAATGTTTAAATACTGTGATGTGTTACAGCTACAGTTTTGAGAAGTATTTAGGAATGAATTTGAAAAGCTGCTACAGTTTCAGATTTGTCTTAAAAATCTTGAGCTATAATAACAGTGGCAAATCTGATAGAGGAACATGGTCCATATCTTGCGCTATACCATCAAAACTTTTTATAGCAGTGTAATGACATGAAGATGCAAATATCTGGTGATAGTTTAGAAGGTGATTGATATTATAAATGTGTCTCTGTATACATAACTGACTTATGCTAGGAATTTAATTGATAGCTACAGTTTTTGCAACTGTCTCCTATGTCAGATGGGTCAACCACAGGTGAAGAACCCAATAGTCCCTAGGTCTACTTAGAGTAACTTAGCTTAAAGAATTAAAAAAAAAAAAAACAACAACCAAAACCTTTCTGAGGCTTTTATAAATATTCTGCAATTAGTTTTCTCTTTCAAAATGTGACTTCTAAGGGCAGATGTACACTGAGTTGCTCCTATGTAGATAAGCTATAAATAATAGTAATAATTTTTAAAAAGAATATTTTGCAGAGAGAACTCACGTATCACTAATTGAAATGCTTTAATTTTGCCTGGAAAAAAAAAAAGTGTAAGCTTAGGTCTGAAGCTTGTTTGGAAAAAATATCTTTTGGAACTGTTGCCTTTTCTCACAAATCAAAGCAAAATCAGTGTCATGCGATATTAAATTAGCGTGACACTGTGCTTTTCTTATGCATATGTTCTTATACACTTCTAGTAGTTACAAAAATGGACACTGATGTTAGGACATGAGTATGTTATCTCTTCCTTCTCTCAGCCACAGCTTTTGTCTCTTACTTGCTTTTTCAAAAAACGTGCAGTGAAGACAATGAAATACTAGTGCTTTCCAGGGTTAATTTCCTAATGGCAGCGGGGAACACAGAAGCAATATTCAAAGGTACACCTGAGAAGCTATTAATTTACCCTGTTTGTTAATATTTAGAATAGGGGATGAAGCAGGAATAGTAGAAAGAAATGCTTGGAAGTGAAGGAGGAAGGATGGGTCTTAGATTAGAAAACTGCTCAGAGCAGCCTATTTCCTCTAGAGCTACCCTAGGTCTTTGGCAGAGAGTTTTTGCTGTCTACAAAATTAAAATGCTTTGCCTGTCTTGTCATTATTCATTATAATTTTTGCCTGTTTTGGGGACTACTATGTGGTAGATGATCACTGCTTAGTACAGTGAGCTCCCTTGTCTTAAGCACACATAGGCAAGTATAGAGGATTTGGACAAACTGCATTCCCTGGGATGCTGCCTGTTTTGTGTGGTTGAGAAATTCTTAACATGTACTGAAATGGGCATGTATTATTATCCTTCTACAGTCAGTATTTGTGATGTGCTTTTTCAACTCAGCATACCCCGCAAAACTGGGAGGCTTTGCACTGCTTTAGAAAAGAAGATTAATGCTGGTTAGGAGGATGATATTAATTTGAGATGAGAAGAATAATTTTAGCTAGTAGGTGAAAAAGTGAAGATGACATAATCCTTGGGTGAAGGAACTAAATGGGACTAGCTACAAGGACTATTTTTATTTTTTTGATAACTGTAAGCACTATAAAGGAGGCCAAACTCTATTTTCAGATCTGTGTATAAGGCTTCTATTAATTTGTCAAAACCAAAAAGCTTGCTCTGAATGTTTTTAAAGCCTGTGTAAACATACTTGCAGTGCTGCATATTTACTGGTTTCTGGAGAGAGAACTGGTTCAGATGTCCTGGAAAATGCGAAAGAATTTTGTATTTAAAGAAATGTTCAAGTATTCTTAATAGTGAAAACTTTAATGACTAGTTATAACAGTGCTTTCGGAAATATTTGTATCAAAAATGCTTAAAAAATATTTGAGGGATAGAATTTGAAGGTTGGAGTAACTTGAGGAATCCATGGGTTTCTCTGTTTTTCTGGGTCATACTCCTCTTGTTTTGAGACAAGGCAGTTGTAAAGCCTCAATTCCAAATAAACTGTGGGTGGGTGAACGAACAAGGGTTACATTTAATTATGTTGGAAGCTGATGTTCAGGGGAGGAGCTGGGGAAATCTTCTTTTGTTGGAAAACTACCTGTGCCAGTGTAGATAAATACTAACAAGTTTTAAAATTCAATTCCTGTAAACATCTGAATTTCACTTTCAGAAATTGCTTTTTCTCTATTTCTGCAAATAATTATTAATTCAAGTGAATGCAAAAGCATGAGCAAGGCTGAAGCAAATCTGTTCTGAAACTTCTGGTATTCCTTGTGGGGATATTTTTTTCCAATCTAGCAATTTGTGTAGTCGATACATAGTTAATGCAAAAGCAATGATTTTACATTAGAAGTATTCTCAGTTTGTGTAGGAAGGTATTATTTATGGGGACACACTCCCCCTCCAAGTTTTAAACTTTGTCTTTTCCTTTTTTTTAAGAGCCATAAACTGTCAGTGGAATACAGATGACTTCTTTGTATAGGAAACACATTGATAAGAAATAAAAATACATGGGGAAAAAAACAGGTGAGGCAAGCAGGCTCCTTAAGCCCTTCCATGCCAGAACAAAATTAAATTACTAATTCTGTTCGGGGAAGAAAGCTGGTATTAAGTTTGCTGGATTATTCAACATCTGTTTAGTATATCTCTCATCACTTGGCTGGATGTTATGCAGATTCATTAGTCTAGGAGAAGAACGTGATTGAAGTTTAAAAGTTAAAATATTGCTGTGTATTGAAGCAGACTTGTTCCTGTTGTAGTTCTACTTACATTTTATCTTGCCAGTTAAGAGGCTGAACAGGAGATGTGTTTGAGTTTTGATTTGCATGCAACCTAATAGCCTCTTCAGCCTTTCAGCTGTCTCTAGTGTGAATGCGTATATTTTTAAAGGGTATTTGTATGCACTTTGGTTTTGATCAACAATTTCTCAGTAAATGGAAAACTTGCAGAATGGGTGAGAATTGTACCGTTTTATTAATTTCTAGCATATACTGAGAGAACAAATTGTACATTATGTTCCCTGTTTTGCATACATCTTCGGAATTATTTCCTTTCTTCCAAAAAATGAAGGTGCCTGTTTAAAACAAGAGGTGTTCATCTCTTTGACAAATCATACTCCAGAAGCCCTGGGCATACTATATAGATGAAATACTGACTGCTTTGCATCATTCATCTGGACTTGTGTTATTTCTGCTTTGCCTCCTGGAGATTGGTGAATTTCCTTAATTTCATATCAGAAGAAAGGAGATAACCACATTTGAAATACAGAATCTTTGCAACTAATAAATGAATCAAGTATGGAGAATTGAAAGAATCTGTGTTGCTGCTGCTTGTATTTGATATTCATTATGGAAATATAGGACTGATTTATGTGTGGGAGGAAAAATGAGCAAGCTTTTGTTATCTCATAGTTGGTGTGAATCCGGGAAGTCTTGATACAGAGATCCTGGAAATTTACGTTATACATAATTTCCCATTGACTCCTCCATATTTTGGCTACTGATCTTTTTATCTCTGTCACAGCAGATTCTTTTTAACATGCCTTGCATTATTCAGCTCTTTCATCTGTAAGTAGTGTTTAAAAAGGAGAGAAAGCTCTTTTAGCACTTGAAAAATGTGACTATTTGATTATGATGCTTATTTAGATTAACTTCCTTTTATACTAGTCCTGATATTTAACACTAGTAAAATAACTGCTTCATCATTCTCCATTATGTTCTTGTTGATGAAGAATCCCTTAAATAACTATAAGTTAAGCAGTTACACATAATTTTTGTATTCCATGGGGGTAAATAAGATGGGCCTTTTAACTTCTTTGTGTTAACTTTGTTGTTTATAAATGATTTTTTTGGTGATCACTCAGATCATGTGGTTAAATATGTTGAATGCACTTGCTAGAAGCAGGATGTTAACCTGTTTGAATGTGGTATTAGTGATAGTGACAATGTTGGTTATAGTGTTTGGGGTTTTTTTTTTTTCCTCCTACGTTACATACAATTATTCCTTAATGATACCAATTCCAGCTTTGGTCGGCCAGGGGTTGAATGCTACTGCCAACATGACAGTGGAGCTGCAGTAATCCAGCTTCAGTTCCTGATTAATGAGGTTAGTAAAATGATGTACATATTCCATAATTCAGAGAAGACAGAGTGTATTTTCTTCAATTTCTCAATAAGCAAGCATCAAAATCAGCTAACAGAAGTGACTCTTAGCATGAATGGCAAACAGTAATAACAGTTATAAATAAATTAACTTTTTAATTTTAGAAAATGCTTGACTAACTGCTGAAAATATCCTTGTCTCTAGAGTACTCTTTTGCTATAAGCAAGAACTTTTTTCCTAGTTGTTTTTATTCATGTCATTGAACATTACAAGTTATCTCTTGAAATAGTAAAGTACGTTTTCAATAGTATTAACACTTTCAGTAGGTAGTTAATTTTATTTTGGTAGAGTTACTGTTTTAGACATGAGCTGAGCAATGATCTCTAATCTGATCACAGTAATTTCAGGTGTGTTTTTTCTAGGGGTGTAGCAGCTGAGATCTGACAGCAGTGCTGTTCTTGAGCTAGCTGGGGCCAGATTTGTAGAGGGACTTCTAGCTCAGAGGAATGGTGAAGTCAAACCTCAGTAGCTTTGTCAGCACATAAATATTAGCAGCTGAGTTCACTGCTTAATTTCTCTGCAGAGGTGGGCATGAGGGAACTGATGTGCATACATCAGAAAAAGCTTCTCCTTCCCCGCCACCCCTCAGTATAGCACTGAACCAAATGTGGGTGAGCTGAATGACATGTGATCATGTCAGTTATCTCGTTACTACTACTTAGAACTTACCTGTGTTATGGTATTTATGCACATGCTTATAAATATTTTTTTCATTCTGGTAGCAAATACGTAATATATTTCCACCATGATGATAATACACTGTTACTAGGGTTCTGAAAATAAGTTGACTAAAACTTTTTCTTTCTCTTAGGGAGCTCTTGTGAGTGCCTTGGCTGATGATACCTTACACCTGTGGAACTTACGTCAGAAGAGACCTGCTATACTTCATTCACTCAAATTTAACCGAGAACGGTAGGGATTGGATTATTACTTCTTTGCTCCTTACCATCACACTATGTGCTATTCTAAGATCAGATTTATTAATGCAGTCCAATTCATAACTTGTTAAATAATTGAAACTGGATTTACATTGGGTTTGAGTTGCAGGCTGTTAGGGCCCAAAGTATTTGTGAGTAGACACACTAGTGACCTAACCTGAGATTATTTTTCTATCACTTTCCATATTGCAATGCTCAACATCAATTTTCCCATCTTTAAAATGTGGAGGGATAGAAGACTTTCAATTTATGTCTCCAAAGGAATTTTGGAACAAAAGAAAAAATTGCGTGTATGTGTGTGCACCAACAAGAAAACAGGAAAACTAGTTCAATTTTTTAATTGGAAGTTTTACCTCCTCAGTGACAGGTCAGAGTTCTGCAATGTTGTAGCTCCTGTGTGTATCAGAGAAGCTGAAAACAACGTGCGTTTTGACTACCAATTTTGAGACTCAAGTAACAGTGTTGTAAGCAAGCTAGGGAGACATTTTAGATTAAATTTGTAAAAGTCAGTTGATTAAATTTCTGAAAAAAAAATCTGTCTGTCTTTTTTTAATAACAAGTAGTCCTTCCCTTTTAGGAAGTAGCCCTTCTGTTCCAGTATGGGTAAAGTCTCAACTGGAATGCTATGTCTACTTTTGAGCAGTGTGCTTCAGAGATGGACTGCTTGAGGAGCTCAAAGGATACTAGCAAGAACACAGAATAATCTGTGACTTGTACCCCTGTTGAACAGGGCAGGAAGTAATAAGCTTTAAGTAATGGGTAGCAATAGAAAGAGTAAGTTAAATATTTATGTAAAACCTTCTAATGTAATGTCATACTGTCATACAAAGTGCTAAACAGACTGTTGGGTGGGTTAGAGAGTAACCTTGTGGTTTTAAAGAGCAGGTTATAAACAAATTTGTCAGGAATAACATAAATGCAGATTACAGGGTTTTTTTTGAGGGTAGAGGACTAAGTGATTCTAAGTCCCTTTTGAGGTTGTTTCTATGATCACTGCATAAACTTTTTACCAAGGCCTGTAGGGATAGGACAAGGGGTAATGGTTTTAAACTGAAAGAGGGTAGATTTAAATTAGCTATAAGGAAGAAATTCTTTACTGTGAGGGTGGTAAGGCACTGGAACAGGTTGCCCAGAGAAGCTGTGGATGCCCCATCCCTGGAAGTGTTCAAGGCTAGGTTGCATGGGGTTTTGAGCAACCTGATCTAGTGAAAGATTGTCCCTACCCGCAGCAGGTGGGCTGGACTAGATGGTCTTTAAAGGCCCCTTCAGAGCCAAACCATTCTGTGATTCTAAACTCATGCTTGAAACAGAAAGCTCTGACAGAGCAAAGATCTCCTCCCCAAGGGAGTGATGGTGTTCCTTTATGCAGTATAAAAATCAAATGGAGAGAAATGCAATTCACGACCTCTAGTTTAATAAGGATTGTCCAACTATAGGAGTATAGTTGTGTATCCAAACTGAATTTTTTCCCTCTCCTTTCTCCCTTCTTTCTTAAATGACTTTTCTCTTGCCTGTAGCACCTACTTAAGTGTCAGTATGAAACTTGGATTTGCAGCCTGAAACCACACTTGGACATTGGCTTCTAACTAATGCTTTAAAGTAGATATCTGAGGAGGTGATTCTGGTTGTATGCAAATCTGGTGGAAGTTGGCTTAGAGTTTTAGATGTATGGATAACTTTGGTTAAACAGAGTGGATGTTTTAAACCATCCTTTTCCTGTAAATGTGGTAGTCTCACTAGCAAAACCTGTCACAGGGAGTTGAACTGCATGTACTCTTACCAGAAAGAGGGTTGGGAGTAGAAAGGAGTCTAGGTCACTCATGTCACTTCAGTGGCTGTATTTGTTATTATTTTGGACAGAGTACTGATTTTTCCGGGAAAACCTGTGCCTTGCTAAAATAGGTAATGAGAGCACCATAATTGCCAAGAGTGGTGAAGGTATAGTTTGATACAAGGCCTTATTCTTCTAGTAATTTTAATCTTAAAGTATCCATTATAATAGCATATAGAAGTATCCAGAACACTTAAGATCCCAGAACCATACATTGTCATAGCCACTTAAGTCATGCTGGATGACTGTTAACTGTTTTCAAATATTCTCTTTTCTTTTGAAAAGTTTATCAAATTGTATATTATTTATTTTTAGTTTATAAAATAAAGTGTAATCTCATTACAAGGGAATTACTCTGAACTTTAGAGAATTGTACAAATTCACCGTTGATAATTCCAAATAGGTGTCTTTATAACATTGAGTTCTTAGTAATTAATTATACCTAATAGGTTTGATATATGTGAATTTGAAGTAAATGGGCTTTGTTTAGGTCAGTTTTATGATGTATATTAACTACTAAGTTTATTGAGGAGAGTGTTCATGAATAAAACTGGGTCTCCTCAATTCACAAATGCCAAGTTGTTAGATACCTAATTAATAAAATCTTTTAAATAATTTATGTTGTGTGATTAAGGTTTGCTTATAAGGATAACTAACTTCTCAAATAGGAATTAATTAAAATATTAAATACTACTACAGAGCCTTGTAGCAATATCTTCTCTTATGATACTTTAATTTGCCAGCTTGTGTAGGCAACTTCAATATCTTGGAAATTAGTTTGGGTAAAAAAAAATAAGTATGTTAACAAACTGGAAAAAATGTCCTTGGAGGGGAAACAAACCCAAATCTTACTACATGACTGAAGCAGCTGTTCCAGTTATATCAGTGTTTGCTCTAGGCCTCTGAAGATGCTAAGGTTTAAAATTATATACCTGACTGGAAGTACCTGGAAGTGTGTTGACATTGCGGAAAAGCAGTATTTGTGTCCTATTTATTAGGAGTTGAGCTCAACATGTCACAGGCCAATTTTTATTCAGCTTTTGTTTCCAAATCAGAGTTTGATGTGAACTAGAAGGTTGGTTGTACCATAGAAAGTTAACTGTAGCAGTTAGCTACCCAGATTAAAGGATGTTCTACTCTTGAAAACTATTCTTGAACTATGTTTAAAAAAAAAAAATTAAAAATTAATGATAAGGCTATGACTTGTTAGTGAATTCTGTATTCTCCTGGCACAGCCTTTTACCTGCTCTGGCTAATTCCCTGCTTTTAGCCATACGGAAGAATTACTGCCCAGTGTTTAGCAATGCAATTTCTAGATTTCAGATTTGTTTCTCCTGTTGGTAATCTAGTTTGGCTAGCTTGCTTTCAGGCCTGTTTTGAACATCTTTCAAATAAGGACTAAAAAACAAACATAGCTTGTTTATAAATGCTTGTGTCCTGTGTATTTTGCATACTTACCTGAAAATTGAATTGTAGTATTAAGTTACCTGTAAACTAATTCAGAATGCAGTGTCTAGTATATGACTGGAAAGCGTTGTGAACTCTTGCTTTTCCAGTCACGAATTTTAACAACAGGGACTGGTGAGAGAGTTGCTTTTTCTTTTAAAATAATTCTATGCCTGTTACAGACTTCTTTCTGAGCTGTGGAAAACGTCTTCATTGGGTAACTTGCAGCTTTTTAGATTTGAGCAAAACATTTCTTTAAAAGTAGTGGCCAAGAATCTTTAAACAGGCTGCTTTCTGTTGAATCGTTAAATGAGTTGAGTATCTGTAGATAACAAACTGGCCATTTAATAGATTCATAACTCTTGACTGCCTTTTGTACCAGTGGTGGTTAGTAATTTGAAGCAAGTCTTCTGAACTGGTGATTGATGATGTTTGTGATGTATAACAAATTGTTAGTTCAAATTACTGGCAGATGTCAGAAGCACAGTGCAAAACAAGCTAGTTTTGGAATTTTTCTAGCCTTTTGTTCCTGTTGCATTTGTGTGGGTTTTGTGGCTGCTTCATGTTCTAGTTACCAAACAAAAGTTAGAAGATACTAAACCAATGTCTTACTAAGCTTGGTCACTGTTCCTTCACTGTGGGAAGCAGTATGTAGGGGCCAGGAAAAAAATGCATGATGATGCTTACATGGGCAGGGGCGGGGGGCATTGCTTGCATGACTTGCCATGCAAGTTAAAAGTGTGTAAGTAGGACCTCTTTGCGGAACGCACAATTTGGTGTGTGAACTTATTTAGTATCAAGTCTTGTACTTCTCTATGATTTCTTCAGTGAATCACAATGTAGTTTTTGTCATCCACACACCTGTATAAATACCCTACACATAATAAAATTGTTGTGTGTTCACATGTAATGCAAGCCTCAGGTCAAACCTGTTTTGACTTAGTAGCAAATGTTAATGTTAGGCTAGATTAACACTGAAATAAGCGTAGTTAACACTTGTTATTAGAGTAAATATTGAAAGCATGTTGTGAGAGAGATATCCAGTCTGGCTTTAGTTTTCTTGCCATGCAGGAACTGTGAAACTTTGTGCTGATCTAAGGTGTGAAAGGTCAAACACACATCACTGATGAACCGGGGACTTTCACAGAACCAATTTGAGAGGGTGAAGTGACAGACTAACTTGATTAAAAAAAAGTTGTGTGGGATGACAAATTTGAGTCTCCCTTACTGCAAACCAAACCCCAAACCAACGAGCTTTACGTACAAGTATGAAAAATTTGTTTAGTTATCTAAGACTTGCATGCTTCCTGAGCTGAGATTCCCTGTTCTAATGCCCAAAGAAAGTTTACTTGCTTTGTGACTTAGCATAAAGACAAGAACCAGAATCGTAGCATAAAAATAGAATGAGTGTTTAGTGTGTGAGTGCTTTGCATATCGATCATTGAATGCATTGATAGCAGTTTAATTTTTAATATGTCAACTTTTGTGCTATGGGATTTAAATAGTTTTCCTCAGCATGAAACTGCACAATTCAGACTTACAAAATTATGCTTTAAGTATCGCTGGTTTTGTATCCTGCTGTAAACAGCAACTTCAGCATTGTGTTTAAAACACAGTCTGTCTACAGTGAGTGAGTGAAAAATCCTGCTTGTATTTACTTCTTTATTAATAAACAAGACTTTAAATTTTATTATGAC